AATTAAGTTATTAATTTAGTAATTATTTAATTAAATTTATTTATTTAATATTTATACTAAAATTAATATTAATTTTTATATTATGTATATATATATTTAGGATAAAATAGATAAACTTAACATTTGAAGTAAGTCGCAAGGTTCGGTTAACAATTTTATTATTTATTTAATCAATTATAATCTGACGTGGCAAGATAAAAACAAATAAATAAATAAATATATACGTATCTGCTTTCCTGTACCCAATAAAAAAAAAATCCAACATCCGATCAACGGACCCTTACTTTTCTGAGTTTTCTTCAAGTTCGTAGCAAAATAGTTCTGCAATTGACTATCTCTGCTTCATCCCTTGCCCCCAGAACTTGTCCTCGCTTTCTCTCTTACGCCCCACTTCCTCTTCCTCCTCTTCAATTTTCCTTCCATTCGCTCCACATTCCTTCGAAACGGCCTCCCACCCAATAAGAGCTCTGAGAGAGTGGCAAGAGTACGAGGGGGCAGTGAAGCGCAAGGACCTTACCAGAGCTCTCAGGTTCTTGAAATCAATTGAGAAAGACAATGATGACCCAGTTGAGGAGAAGCTCAAACATGGTTCTTTGTCTATTGAATCGCCTCGGCCCCAACTGGGAGAGCTGGGGTTTGTTGGTGGGTTAGAGAGGGATTGGGAGGTCTTGGGTACTTATTTGAGTGCTAGTGATATGAGACTTGTGGGTAGTGCTTATGGGTTCCTAAAGGACCGACGGTTCTTGCCCAATTTTGGAAGGTTCAGTGGTATATGTATTTTTTTGTTATTAACTCCCGCTGAGGGTGTTCTTTTATATGTTTTGGTTTTGAGTTTTTTCTGTCCTCGGGTATTAATTCACGGCGAACTTGGAAAGGGAAAAATGGGTCTTTTGTCATATGTAAAGGGGTGTGCTTTGCAATTGTCACGGTAACAGCTTTCATTTCTGCTCGAATGAATAATTTTGCTTTTAACTTCTTCAACATGCACACTTTAGGCAGTTCTGGAGGGGCCAAGAGACGTTACACCACGTGTCTTGAAGTCCTCTACTGGTTTAGATGTTATCTTTATTTTAATTTTGATGAATTTGTCTAAGTTCTTCAAGTTGTTGCATCATCTTGATTTGAACTAGTTTGCATGTAGAAGTCTTTCCAGCTTCAGCAGAATGCATGGTTTTAGATGATTGGCATTATAATAATGTATATCGTTCTATTATGATTGGGTTGTTTTATGGTGGTTGGTATTCTAGTATTTTGTTTTCATCTAAGAAAATAAAAGTAAAATTTCATTGAAATAGTTATGGATTACCTTTTCCCTTTTTCAGTTTTTAACCTTTCTCCAAAAAAGTGGGGTTCTTCTGGAACCTCAAGCATTGCATTGGTTGCCCTTCTGGGTGGAGTCTCTTATCTGCTTTTTCAAGGGATTGATATCAGGCCTAACCTTGCTCCCATACTGCGCCTAGCCTTTTTGGACTCTATCTTCCTTGGGGATACATGTTTAGCTTTAATCTCAAGTTACTGGCCTCTGTATAGGCACCGGATTCTAGTTCATGAAGCAGGCCACCCCCTTGTTGGTATGTAATACTTGCATTGTTCACTTTAATGTTATTATGGTTTTTTTTAATACAAAATCTGAAATATGAATCCCTGCATTTGGACACTTTTTGCATGGTCATTTCTGCATGTTTAGCAGTGGCCAAAAGGCTGATGTTCTCTTCACTGTCTTCTGGTTCTTTGAAAATGATCTTGGCATATGACATTGGCTTACGAGCATAACTAATGTTCTTTTGCTAATTTATTTGGAGTGTAGCTTATGGATTGCCCAATTCATGGAGTGATTTTAGATCCAATTGCTGCAATGCAGATGGGCATCCAAGGGCAGGTAGTCATTATGAATTCTTTTTAATTACATTTTTCTCTAAGTATTTTTGTAAAGTAAATCAAACTGCATGCTGTATGCTGTTTGATTCTTAAGCAATATAATCTCTTGTTGACACCTTTAGTTTATGGAAGTTGTAAAGGGCCAAACTCAGCATTTTTCTACTGGCTGGAACTCAGTTTTGGGATGAGAAAATGAGTAATGAGCTGGCTGAACGACGATTGAGTGGCTCTACCTTTGACAGGTTGGTATCACCAGGTGGTGTCTCTGATGTTTGAAGCTGCCTAAAGATTTAGATATTCTTGCCTTAAATGAAAGTTTAGCATCCAAATTATATTTATTTCATTTACTATTTGAAATTTTGGTAGATTTACAGATCGTTATTCATCATGTCTTTGACGGTCAGTTTTTGGAAATACTGACTACAAACTCTAAGAAAGTTTCCCGACCTAAATTCTTGTTTCTAATTCTCGTTCCTTTTAGGTCTTCCATTTTTTCAATCTCTTTTTCAACATCTTCTTCTATTACTCTCAATCTATTTGTTCTTTACTTGTGCTGCATCAGGTCATAAGGTCAATAATTCCATTAGTTTCTAATTATGATCACTGATATTTCAAGGGGAATGAAACTGTCTAAACAGGAGTTAAAATAAACTATTCTCCTAGGCATTCTGCAGAAGTGCATTGCATGTTCTTCTCTCTTAAGGCTTTTAGTAAATATGTCGTTAGCAAAAATGCATGTCAGGAATATTTTTCTAGTAGTATTGTTATAATAATGCATGATTATATGATCAGGTACTGCATGGTGCTTTTTGCTGGTATTGCTGCTGAAGCTCTGGTTTATGGTGAGGCTGAGGGTGGAGAGAATGATGAAAACATGTTTCGCAGCATCTGTGTCCTTCTGCAACTGCCGTTGTCTGTAGCTCAGTAAATCTGCAACTATCTATTTTCATGCCATTACGCCATTAATAGGTACTAATTATTCTCACCTAGAGAGGGAAAAGGTACTAATTACTGGTTTTCATTACCTTGAGAAGATTTCAAATCAAGCTAGGTGGTCTGTTCTACAGTCTTTCAACGTGCTTAAATGGCACAGGCATGCTCATTGAGCTGCTGTCAGAGCTTTGGAAAGTGGTGGTAGTAGTATTGTAATTAGGAGGATTGAGCAAGCCATGTCTTCTGGCAGATGATGTGCAGGAGTACATAAACATGCTGGTTTCTATGGTCCAATGGAGTTCGAGAGTTAGATGTTCTATGTGCACCTATAGGAAGGCTTAGATAACCATCTGTCTGTTCTTGTATGGCTGGGCATGGTGAACTGAGGCATGGAAGCTCTGAAGCGTTACTCTGATTATTGTTCTCTGCTCTTTCCCGTACTAAACACTAATTGCATGTGTCATCAATTATGAGAAAGATTTTCCTCAAATGATAGGTTTCTTAGAAGAAGAATGAATGACTCAAACTTTTTGAAGTTCCCAAGGTAAGTCCTAACAGGCCACAGTGGGCGGAGGGCACATCGAGGAAGTAACAAATTTTGGTATCCAGCTGACCATTTTTGACATGTAGTCTAAAGAGATGGTTCCTCTTGGTATCTTTGCTGCATTTAGACCACAAATGTGAGTGAAGTTTCTCGTGTTCTCAACTTTTTGTAAACATTTTAGGATCAGAGTGCTATTTTTTCCAACGCTGTTTTGGTTGGATGAATGTTAGGTTTTGAGCCATGGCCCCTTGATTGAACCCCTAACTAATTTGATTCTGGTTTAAGCTTTTGTCCCAATCAAGCTGCCTCCATATTCTCTTAGAACAAAAGACCACAACGTTTTGCACATGCACTTTATTTGTGAAAGTTGTCATTTTTTGACTAAATTTGTATATGTTGTCATTATTTTCCAATGAATGACATTTGGTGGGATTGACGTAGATGCATGTTTTAATGTGATGAACTTTATTAGAGGGAAACTTCAGTATCAAAGTTTGCATTAAGATCATTTGAATCTAAGGTTACCCCTTGAATACTCATTTTCTCTTACAATTCTAATTATCAGTCACTCTTGAGTCTTGACTCTACAGAGGTTAAATGATTGTTTTGGAAAACCAACAAAAGTTGTCTAGAACAAAGTAGTGACAAGAAGTAATGCAGACTTCGATGAAGTAAAACCATTTCTGTCTCCCATAAGGATTTATGTGTAGAACTACTGTGATTGCCATCAAGATTGCAACATAAGCCACCACAAAGCTCCAGTAGAAAACAGTCATGTCAATAAAACCATTGTTTTCCTCGTCATAATTGAAGACATTGGTCACTAATGGTGGTTCAATTTTGGTGCAGTTGATTTGCAGTGGAACTCCACAGAGGAAAGGATTTCCTTCATAGCTACTTTCATCAAAGGTCCCAAACTGAGCTTTTTGATCAGGGACTGGTCCTGATAAGTTGTTGTATGCAATAGAAAACACAGCTAGGGTGTTTAGCTCAATCAATTGAAGGGGGATTCTCCCATTCAAATTGTTATAGGAGAGGTCCAAACTTTCAATCTGCTTAAGGTTTAAAAATGTAGAGGGAATTGGTCCTATTAGCTTGTTGTGTGACAAGTTTAGTGCATGGATCTCATTCAAGTATCCAATTTCAAGTGGGATCCTTCCCGTGAGTTGGTTGCAAGATAAATCAATACCTGACATGTAACGAAGGATGCTTCCATTGTAAACATATGATATGCTCTTTGTTGTAAACTCTACCTAATCCTCTGTTTCAATTAACTCATCTTCAAGTGGCATGGAGCCATAGTAATTCTTTAGCAACTTTTCCCCCGCTATGTCTGACAATGATATCACTGAGCCAAGACCCCCCCTCCAAAATCTAGTCTGAAGTTGAGAAATTGATGCCTCAAATTCAAATGTTAAACTTCTCAGGCAAAAAGGTATAGAACCAGAAAGATTATTTTGAGAAAGATCCATTATCTTTAATCTATTCAAATGACATAGCTGGAAAGGAATTTCACCTTCAAAATGGTTAGCTTTCAACAAAAGAATGCTCAATGAAGGTAGGGTGCCAATCCAACTAGGAATTGTACCAGTTAGATTGTTCCTTGTAAGGTCCAGTGACTCTAGATAAGAGTTGTTGTAGAATGCTTTTGTCAATGACCCAGTAAATCTATTGTTGCTCAGATGAACATGGTTTATATGAAATCGATTAAAGCATTCAGGGATAGGGCCAGACAAGTTGTTATTTGAAAGGTCAAGAAAAAAAAGGCTATCAAGGCCACAAAATTCTATTGGAAATGGACCTTCAAAAAGATTTTTGGACAAAGATAGCCCACATAGTGTTGAGATATTTCCCATCCATCTTGGAAGCTTGCCTAAGAAATGGTTGTTGCTCATGTCTATTAGCAATGGAGAAAAAGAGTTGACAGATGAAAACTCAGGTATCTCTCCTGCAAAGTTATTGCTGCCAAGTTGTAAGACAACTAAATATGTGGAGTTGAAAAGAAGAGGAAATACTTGCCCCTGCAAATTATTGCCTGACAATATGAGAAATTTTAAGGGGCAACCTAGGACTAGCAATTCTGGTATCCCTCCAGAGAGCTGATTGTTGGACAAGTCTAAATGGAATAAAGAGCTCATATGGCCAAAGGAATCAGGGATATTCCCAAAGAGTTGATTGCTTGGCAAGCTTAAATATTCTAATGATTTCAAATCACCAACAGAAGAAGGAATCTGACCTTGAAAGGAATTTTTGGACATGATTAACGTTGTAAGATGGGGAAAGATTGAACTCATGTTTATAGGAATTTTTCCCAATAAACCATTCATGGTTACATCTAAGATTGAAATGTTGATATGAGGTTGTGATGGCAACTGCAAAGGTCCTGATATGGAGTTATATCCTAGCATGAGTACTTTTAATCGTGTATTGTTCATGAACAACCAAGATGGGAATCCTCCAGTGATGTTGTTGTGGGAGAGATCAACAAACCTAAGGACATTTTGGTGATGGAGGAAGTAGGGAGGTTCTTTTAATGCAAGGTAAGACAAACTCAAAAATATAAGTTGGAACTTTGGAGTTGGAGTATGAAGGAGAGGTTCTGGCATTAAATTGTTGCAATTGCCAAGAAGGACCTTAAGCTTGGAGTGGTTGGCAAACATCCCAAAGGAAACTGGGACTTGAAAATTGTTTGTTGAAAACGAGAGATATTCAAGTGAGTTTAGATTGGTAAGAGGGCTAGTGGCAATATTTCCTGTGAAATAGTTATATGATATATCCATCACCAAAAGATATGACAAGTTTCCCAAACAAGAAGGAAGCATTCCCTGAAAATTATTTTCACTTAAATCTAACTCCTCAAGGTTCTTCAGTTTACACCATCCTGTAAAATATCAATTATTGAAGAAGGGAAAAAAATGAAATTACTAACACAAGAAACAATAAGAAACAAAGAAATGAGGAATTGTTACATCAATTCATAGTTCTAAATTTCTTATGAGGAGAAGATTATATATATAATTTTTTTTTGGGTTGGTGAGAAGATTATATGTTTTACCTTGACTAGGCAGAGTTCCATTGAGCTCACATAAGGGCACAGACAAAACTTTAAGAGAGCTTAGTGTTCCAATGCTTTGGAGAAAATTATCATGAAGAGAAGATTCATCCAAAAGCAATACTTCCAACTCCTTAAAAGTGTGACCATCTAAAAATTAGGTATTCAATTATTATTAGCAACTTGGATAAATTGAGATAATGTATAATAGAAAAACTAAAATATAGGTAAGCATATCCTATTCTCTCTCTTCTTCTTTTTTTTTTTTTCTGCTTTTGCTTGTTTGCATTACTCACCTACAATAGTCACTAGTTCTATAGATGTACTTAAAGTAAGATCAAGGGTCTTAATTAAAGGGAATGCCCTGATTGATTGTACTAGACAACTTCCACAAGTGTTGTTGTTCTCAATTAGATGTAGGGCTTCTAGCATACTCGAACTTCTCGTATCTACAAACAAAAGAGGGGATTAAGATAAGCTTTAAAGCGACAAAGATGTGAACTTGTAGCAAACTCGTGATCTTTTAAAAAGGACATATGCGTCACAGTAGCCAATGTAGACATAGCCTTAAAAGTTCTGCTTGAGCTTGAGCAAAATTTTTCTCTATTGATGCATAAGTAGTTTACAATTCAATAAAAACTTTTACTAGTATCAAACTAATGGGTTAAGTGTTCTAATTCTTTTATGGATTTATTGATGAAAGGAGCAAGATGACTAGACCTCATTATAACCAACTTTCTAGTTTGATCATGTGTACCTTCATGAGCCATGAAACTTTCCACTTCATTATAGCTTAAATCCAGCTCCTTCAAATTGTTTAGAGCAACTAATTCTGGTGGGGACAAAATACAAACAATCAAATAAAAATGAGGGAAAAGAAGCAGCATTTAATTAGAAGGATATTCAATGATAGATGAAAATAGAAAACAAGTGAAATAATTGATCTACCTGTAATATTTAGTATTCCTTTTATTTTGTTCCCACTCAAATCAAGACTCTTGAGAGATGAAAGCCCTCTTAGGGAAGATAAAGTTGTGTTACTAAAATAATTATTGTACAAATGAAGCACTTCCAAATTACTAAGACCCAATGGTCTTTTAATACCTGCAATAGGGTTTATTGTTTCATCAAAAAATTTATGAGTATGAAACTAATGGATCAAGTTTTCTAATTCTTTTAAGGTATTTGTTGATGAAAGGAATAGAATGATAGGGGCTCATCATAACCCTACCTTTTGGAGCCACAAAACTTTCCACCCTATTGTTGCCTAAATCTAGCTCCTTCAACTCGTTTAAACCAACTAATTCTGGCAGTCACAAAGACAAAATGAAATCAATTAAATTACAATGAGGGAAAAGAAATAGGATTTCATTAGAAGGATATACAATGATTGATATAAACAAAAAATAAGCAAAACAGTTTATCTACCTTTAATATTTAGTATTCCTTTTAACTTGTTCCCATGCAAATCGAGACTCATGAGAGATGAAAGCCCTTTTAGGGAAGATAAAATCGTGTTATTGAAAGAATTATCACTCAAATCAAGCACTTCCAAATTACTTAGCCCCATTGGTCTTTTCACACCTGTAAATAGGATTTGTAAGTAATAAGCATTCTTGATGCATTTACAAGTAATTAATGAGCAGCTTCAAGTCCCTCAAGAAACGTAATGATGTTAAACTGGATATTATGCCTCATTTCTTAAAGTGTATCAGATTAATTGGTTATGTTACGTAAAAGACTACCTGGAACATGGAGACTTCCTTCCATTTGATTGCTTGCTAGATTTAACACTTTTAAGGATGAAAGACTTGCCAAAGATGATGATAGGATGCTATTGTTTAACTGATTATGACTCAAATCAAGAACCTCCAAATTGCTTAAGCTTGACAACTTTTCTAGACTTGTACAAGAAATTAATATAGTTAGTTGTGTTGCTAAACCAAAAATTTTAATACCATACATCCCACAAAATGAATAACTAAAAATGTTGCTCAAGTAGAAAGAAAAGAATGACCTTCATTCTTCATGAAACCAAAAATGCTATTGTCCCTCAAAAAAAGACTCTTCAACTCTTCCAAGGCCGAAAATAGAGAAGAATTCAAGTACCAACTCTTAACATTCCAACCATCAGTAAAATTAAGGGAGAGATGGATCACTCTCTTTGTTGTGATGTTGCATTCAATCCCAACCCATTTACAACAATCACCATGCCCACCCCAAGATGCTAGAACATGGTCGGTTGGGGGAGGGATTGAATGTTTGAGGTTTAAGACGGCAATTCTCTCTTCCTCCAAACACCCACAACAACAAGAACAATACCATCCACTTACCAAAACCAACAATACAATTGCTCCAACCCATTTTTCCTCCATTTTTTGTTCTTTGTTTTTTGGGCTTGAAGCAATGTCGCGCCCTTTTCTTCTTATAATGGAGTTTCAATTTCAGTCAAAGATGGAGGCGTTTGAGCAATCTAAAAAGTTGCGAAGGTGACCGTAGACTTGAATACATAAATGCCAATAACGACATGACCAAATATCGTGTTGACCACAAGTTCGGCTCTTGTTTCTATTCCAATACATTGAATTTGATGTAAAGTTGTTCCCATAGGCCAGAGGGACGTGAAGAATAAGAGTCTCCCCTGGAAAAATTAAGAGAATAGTGAGTGGTTTAAATATGTTTACTCGTCAAATTAAAGTATTAGCCTTTTGGTTTGAAATTATGTCTCTCCAACGCGGTCACTACCATTCCAAATCTGAGCAAAAGAAATAAATCTCCAGAGAAAGAGTTAGTGCCAATTGTCATCCCTCTACTATCAAAAAAGTTCAATTTAAATCTTATACTTTTAATTCATCTTATGTCTAGTTTTTTACTAATTTTTTTTTTTTTGGTTTCCCGTCCGGTATCCAGGATTTCGCCCCGACTAATCCGAATCGACCCGCGTGGCGCATCGGGTTGTGGTGGGAAGGTCTCCGAACGGAAGCTACTGCGTACACAAGGTTTCAAACTTGAGATCTTGTTTAAACAGGAACAAACCGCTTACCACTTGATCCAACCCCTCGTTGGTATCTAGTTTTTTACTATTAATTAACTACAAATGTCTTCTCTTTATTATTTTAAAAAATGTTTCAATGTCGTCCTTCCATCTAAATTCCATCCAATTTCGGGATAAAAAATAAATTGTTGACCGTTAACCATTATCCAGTCAGATATCCAAGCCCTTTCTTATTTCCATTTTTTTTACAGCTGGGCTTTGGTAGACCCACCAGCGCCACATCAGACAACGTTTAGTTGTTGGGAATTGTACTTATTTTTTTTCAGTTAATGCGCCTTGCTCTCTAGCTGACACGTTTGTTTGGATAACACACACACTGAGCACTCTTTGACATTTTTCCCTAACCTCCACAATAATGCGTGAATGTCACCGACGTACCTACAATTTTTCCTTATCTCATTCCCATCCCTCCTCCAGCTCCAGTTGTCCCTCTCCCTACAGTGAAATTGTCAAACTGTAATCAACAATATTTATCATATTCCATCAAATTTTAAACAAATTATTTGAAAAAAATAC